TTTCTCTTAGACTAAGAAATTCCCGATTTACATAACACTGTTGTGTCTTTCTTTCTTTTTTTTAAAATAAACGTGCTCATTAATGACAGCAATTCTGTTCTTTTCTAGGCTTCTAGCAGTGCAGGAAACTTAGGAGTACTCATTCCTGTAATAGCTGTGGTGAGTATTTATTAATTGAATGGCTTAATCTTCCAGGTACTATTGCTTTTGTTTTGAGTATTGCCTAGTGATGCACAGCCAATTCCTTTGAAGAATGCAGTTTTGAGACCCCAGTGATTCTGTAGATGTGATTGCTTCAGCCACAAGCAGTTCTTCTGTGGCGGTCCCATAAGTGTATGCTTGCTGTACCACTTCATTCCCTTTTTCTATCCCCTGCCCCAGCCTCCTTGGCCAGCTGACCAGAGAACTCACTTCAGGTCCCTTCTGTGTGGTCCCTGGTCCTATGTCTAACTCTGCTTTCATCCTCTGTATCTCACACTTGCATTGGTACCTCTGACTAACACCCTCATTGGTACCTCTGACTAATGCTGGGCTGGCCCCCTGCTTCCATCCTCTGGGCCCCTACCTGTGAGATGAGGCCTAGAGATCTCAGTCCTCAGAGCTGCAGCTTTCAGTTTCCTCCAGGGAGCGTTGTTGACATGGCCTGCCTCTTGCTGTGGCATCATGTGGTAGAGTACCCTTTTCCATTTTGTCCCGTCTCCGCCTTTGTCCACTTCCCAAATGATGTTGGTAGAAGTATTTTTCCCATTCTTAGTCATTCCTGACTGCAAGTCATAAGCCCTGAACCCCGCATTATTTGTTTCCTTGCCCTATTTTCTACTTTCCACTTAACCCACCTTCTAGTTCATCCCTTGCATCTGCCTTCCGTTGTCTCCCCACCTCACCCCACCCCCAGTAGTTCCAGTCTTGAGCACTTACATGTGTCCCCTTGACTTTGTGCATCAGAGGGATCAGCCTGGCTAATCTAGGGGTGTGGAGGTCAGGCAGGCAGGTGGAGTCACAGGCATGAAATCACCTCTCCTGACCTCAGGGAAACTATTTCTGTGCTCACACCTGAGTGTTCATCATCATTCTGAACCTGGGGACTTTTAGGCAGTATAGTTTTGGCCAGTGAAGGTCGATGAAAAATAGTAGTGACCAGTTTACTATTATTTATTTTTAATAGTAAAATGTCATGTGTTACATTTTGTGTAATATCCTACTTCCAGGTTACATTTTGTCTGTATGCTGTCTTTTTCTCCCCATCCCTCCCCTACTAAGTGGCTGATTCAGGAAGGGAAGCAGAGTCTGCACCAGGACAGGGCATCTTCCAGGGTGTGCTTGAGTGGGGAAAAGGGGCTGCACCCACAGTGCCATGGATTGCAGCTGCTACCTCCAGCTTTTGCAGGTTCCCATGGGAACTGTGCCACCTTCCTACCTGCAGTCAGATGTTCTCTCACAGCTCTTTGAGAGCTTGAGGTTTGCCAGGACTCATTCTACCACCATATTTTTCATCAGTACCCCCATTGGTTAATTTTTTACAGTATAAATTTTCCCACTTTATAGTTAATGTAGACTAGTATATAAATTGTGTTTTAGAAGTGCCATTGTATGTGAGTCTTTTGTGTGGCCTAGAGGAAAAGGCGATGTCATGAAGTCAGAGGCACCTTTAGGGTGGCAGACTCCGTGGCAGAGGAGGGTTTAGGCCGGCAGGAAGGACGCTGAATCATTGAGTTTCAGAATCTTTGAACACCGAAATTGTATGACATGAATTCCTGTGAGCTTTCAAATATACTGAGTGATTGTCATTTAGAGTTTAATAAATGCATAGAGGAAATCAATTGGGGGCACCTTGCATTTCTAGAGAGTAATGAGGTTGATTAGGATTACACAAGTTTTAGGGTTCCAGGGGCACAGGTTGGACTCCTGGGTCAGCCTGAGGGACTCCACGCAAACCTGAACCTCACCAGGCTGCTGGGGACTTAATGTTATCCATGAGAGCTTAGCGCATGCTCACTAAATACTCGCTGCTTTGACCTTTTACATGAATGGAGTAAGTATTGTATTTTTAACAAAAGTTAATGGTTATATTAAGGGGGAGGAAGCAAATATTTGATTTTATTGCTCAACGAAGAGCACAGATCATGGGTTCTTATATTTGTTTTATGGTTACCCCTTGAACCTTCTGAAAGAAACTAATTTCCAGAGTTAGGTTTTTTTGGGGTTTTTAAAAATGTTTTATTCTTTTTTTCTTTTTCATAAGAAAGGTGTACTCTGTTTTGAACCTTTGATGACACAGTATCTCGAGTTACTTTGTTGAATGAAAGTACCAGTGGATTTGGGGCAGGAAGCCTGGATTTGGGCCCTAAGGCAGCTATTCCCTTCTCAATGACCTTGAGGGAGTTGCTGGCAGCCTGAGTCATGTGATTTTTAAGGCTTCTTTCTGCCTAGGTTTGCTGATCTTTGTCCTGCAACTTTGTGAATAATGTTTCTTCAGAAATATCATTGATTAAATTACTTCTATTGGTATCTAGCCCACTAGTTAAGGATTTTGAGAGTTATCTAATGCTTACAGACCTTGTTTTACTCTCATAAGATAGTGATTTCATAAGATATACTTCCTAATGGAAAAGCATTCATATACCTTACTTAGAGTAAGTTTACCTGTATCCCTGGTAACTTTTGTGGCCTTGGGCAGGTTACTTATTCTCTCAGTGCCTGTAAAATGAGGTTTGTGGATTAACATTTTTTAGATCTTGAATGACCATTTTGAAAGCTATATACTTACTCTCTCTCCATGGAATTGTGTATTATTCTCAAGCTTTACATGTAACTTCAGGGAGTTAAATGGGAGAAGCCCATCCAGGGCACCCTAGTTAGGAACCCCTGGGTTCAGGACTTTTTCAGACTAAGATAATAATGAGATACTCTTACCTAACTCTTGCTAAACAGATCTAAACACTTTCCAGACATTATCTCATTTAACCTTCACAATAACCCTGCAAGATAGGTGCTGCTATTATCCTCATTTTACAGATGAGGACACTGAGGCACAGAACTTGCCTTGGAGTTTCACAGCTACTAAATGTCAGAGCCAGGATTCTAACCCAGGCAGCCTGGCTTAGAGTCTTTGCTCTGAATTAATACTCTACTACCTTGAGAAACAGGTGGGCTAGTTTCTGTAAGCGGGAATCCGAGGAATTCTCAGTGGATACACATGAACAAAAAGCATGGAGATTGGTGGGCTTCAGTCTCGTGCAGGGGTATGGAGAAGCCCAGACCCTGCTGTTGGAGAGGTGGGGCATGGTGAGTGGAAGTGAGTGCCACCTTTCTGGGGAAGGAACAGTGTGGCAAAGGACTAAAAACAGTTTTATTGAGGTAACTACGTTTAGAAATGGGAGCAGCAAGAGGAAGCAGCAGCCAGATGAGAATTACAGGACAAGTACCAGGAAAGAACTGTGCAGAAGCAAGTTGGAGAAAGGGTAGAAGGAGCGTGTCATCCACAGTGTCAGGTCTCCCAGGAGGCTGGGGCAGTATGCAGGGAGATCTGGCCTCTGTGCTGTCAGCTCTCAGCAGAGTATGGATACAGGCCCTCTTCAGGAAATCAGGATGGGAGCAAGTGATGGAGGTTAGCAGGGAAAAGCAGGCCTTTAGGGTCCCCTGCCTAGGTGTGGATTCAGACCTGAGGTACATCCCTTCCCTTCTGTGAGCTGTAATTGTTTCTGCAGCTATAAAAAGAAGGTGATAACAGTGCCAACCTCCTAAGATTGGTATGAGGGTCAATGAGATAACCTGCAGGTGTACCCACACAGAACAGTGGTGTCCTCAGTACTCCCGTGTTACTGCTCTGATATTGGTCTCACGGGTCAGAAGACCAAACAGGTCTGCTCCTGTTAACTGTTATTGCTCTCAGGGGTCAGAAGCCTTCCGTGACAAGACTCCCTTCATAACCTTGCACTTGAACCCCAGCCCCACCACTTGACTGCAGCAGCATCTTGGACAGGTTTCAGAACCCTTCCAACCCTTGTCTTCCTCACCTGCTGGGCTGCAGGGGTTACCATTAGACAGCCGCATGCACAGCTCTTGTGACTGCTGTTCCCGTGGCTGCAATCATCCCCCTCACTGATGGAACACCCACAGTCTTGTGTTCTGAGCAGGCTCTTTAGATTCCATTTGGCTTATCCAGATAGTGAAGGATCCAGAAATATATTCCTCAGATGTCACCTATTTTATCAGACCAGACCCACTGCAGGACCATAACTGAGGGATGAAAGCCAAAGCATGCCCTATGTAAAGACTAGAAGCCCTGGGGCTATATGCTCAGTGCTTTGTGTTTTAGGGGTGCTGTGCAGAGCCTCCCCATGACTCAGCACACACCCGCCTGTCCTGAGAGTGTGTGCACTCAATGCTCAGACTTCCTGTCAGCCTTTATCATTCCCTGGGTGGGGAGGGATCAGCTCTTTTGGATTTGGCCTTTGTTAGTTATTTGAGCTTCAGAAAATAGAAGTAGAACAGATACATAGTAAAAGTGGCTATGTTTATTTATCTCTAGGGTGGAAGACATGGCTATGTATGCACACTGTCGTCCGGGTCTCAGGGAAGCAACAGCAGGAGGGACAGATGACATTTCGTATGAATTTGAAAGGTTGAGCCTTGAAAGAATTAAGCCCTAACATCAGCCAGGGTACCACTCGTACATCTTGAGGTTGCTTCCCCCTCAAGCAGCTAGCATTGGGTATGGTGCTAGTTTTGTACCTTCCTTGGGAGAGGTGAGGAATTAGTCATGCAATTCATTTATGTGTCCAGTGTTCAGTTGAGAAAGGCTTTGAGTAGCAGAGCCAGGTATGTGAGGATGAGGAGCAGGAGGTACCTGGAGCACACTGTGCAGACATGCTGTGGAAAGGTAGGAGGTGAGACCCTCTAGGTAACAGCTGACATGCTACAGTTATATTAACTTCTATAAACTTATGTCATTGGTTACTGTGCGGAATTGATTCCATTGAGCTTCTTGGTCATTTATAAGTTCCTTCTCTCATATGGGCCCTGAACTTAGATTGATGCTAGCATATGGAAGTCATGAAGCCAAGACATCTCTGTTCTCATTAGAATGGAAAAAAAAATGACATAGTGCCCCCAAACACTTCAGACGCAGATCTCCACCTCTAGGACCTGCTGGGATTAACCACTCTCCCCATGAAAAGCAGGCAGCTGGTGCGGTGCTCATAGATGAGGAACAGAAAGGGGCGGTCGACAGTGAAGCGGACTTGAGTGGACAGTGGCATGAACCCGACTGTGGTCACAGCAGCGGCCTGGGTACCCTCCTCATTCACTGTGATGGTGCCTTGGTGTTTGAACTGTTTGGAAAGGAAAATTGTGAGATTCCAGAGGTCAGCACACAGAGGGATAGTGTATCTGATGCAGTCCCATCTCATTCAGGGAAGGAGTTCAAAGGCAACATATAAAGCAAAAACCACAGCTGGTCAGAATCACCTTTGAAAATATCTCTCATCACTTGTCAAGGGCTGCATGTGCACTTAGAGGCCATGTATATAATTCGAGAGTTATGTCCCCTCTCAACGTTCCCATGTTCTGAGGGCCTGGAGGCCAGAAAAGCTGCTACAGCTCCAGGTCCTAGATCTGAGATACACATCATGGGAAGTGGGGGACCTGGGTCTACTGCAGTTTGTACTGGTGTTATTTTTTTTTGCTGAATGCCTACTATTGGTTCGTTATGTTAAATGTGTACATAGTGTGGTTCTCTGTGTGTGTTTAATGAATTTCTCCCAGTTTGGCTGTGAGTAGCTATTTCACAGACCAGAGAGAGTATGTGTGTCCCCTGCCTCTGGTGTCAGCAGGAGTGGGCCTTGCCCAGGGGTGTTCCCTATGACCACCTTGCCCACCAAACATCTGCCATGTTCCGTGCTCCCTGGATAGCAGCTGCACAAATAGGCATCCTGTGTTGCCCCTAGCCAGACATAGGAGCAGACTCGGCACCCCAACCTGGAAAGTCAGATTGACGGTGGGATGGGAAGGACAGGTGGAGGTGAGACTGTGCTGAGTAGACTATAGAAAGGGGACAGAGTGGTTATGAGAGCAGTTACCAGGTCTATGGTGATCCTTTGGTCTGAGATTCCTGCCATGTTGCCGTTTTTGTCAAACAGTGCCGTGACCCCCATGGACTTCAGGGGCTCAACCAGATTGTAGTTCTTCTCCAGCTTGAATTTTGGCAGAAGTACCTCTCGTGTTCTACTCAGAGGAGAAAGGGGGGGGCACAAGTTAGAAAAGAATTGTATTTTTCCCTTTAAAGGTCTACAACCTACCCCCGAGGTTGTATTTACCACAGAATTGACACAGCACTTATTCAGATTTATGTCCCTAGACTGTCAGCTGAGGGCTTTGGAAAGCCCATCCCATTATAATTGCAGTTACTGAAAATTGAAGCATGTTTGCTGTTGCATGTTTGCCTTGTGTCTGTGTGATTCGTTTCCTGTCTTCAAGGTTAGTAGTAGAACTTTGACTGGTTTATGATTTGAGCAAGCATCTAAAATAATTATCTGACTTGGTTCCCCAATTTCAGGCTTGTCTTATTTTATTAATTAAGGAGTTGAATATCTGGTCAATGTCCTTAAAAAAAGGAACTCAGGCCGGGCTCAGTGGCTCAGCCTATAATTCCAGCACTTTAGGAGGCCAAGGCGAGTGGATTGCCTGAGCTCGTGGGTTGGAGACCCACCTGGGCAATTTGGCAAGACCTTGTTTCATTTTTTTTTTTTTCCCGAGTTGGCATCTCAATTTGTCGCCCAGACTGGAGTGCAGTGGCCGCTCCCAGCCACTGCAGCCTCGACCTGCTGGGCTCCAGCGATCCTTCCACCTCACCCTTCCGA